AAAACAATAAAATTGTACAGCAGGAGACAATTTTTTGTGTTTTGTAGTTTTATTGACCTGTCCAGTCGCCCTGAGTCAGCTGAGATAGACTCCAGCAACCCCGCAACCCTAGTGAGGATTAAGTGGTGTATAGATAATGGATGGATGGATAGTAGTTTTATTGTTAATACTTCAGTGTGCTATTAGCACTTTTACATAAATAAAGGATTTAAACAGTTTATCTACCACTGGCGCCAAGTCATGACACAAGTAACCTTATGGCACTTCACAGTAAAAAAAAAGAAAAAGGGAACCCACCAATTCTCCTTTGAACAGCACTTGACAAAAGTGGAGAGAAAAAAGCCACTTTTAACAGGAAGAAACCTCCAACACAACCAGACTCATGGAGGGCGGCTGTCTGCCTTGACTAGCTGGGGTCGAACATAGACAGAAAAGGTGAACCTTGAGAAACAACAAATAATTAAAATCACTGGGGAGGTCGGTGGGACCAGTGAGTGCAGATCAGAAACATGCAACTGTCGAGCCAGAGGCACCTGCAGAAAGGTACAGACAGAGAAAGGACAGACAGGACAAAACATTAATCTTTTCATCTCCCTCACTATGAAAACTCATTAAAAAAGAAGAAGTCATTTTGTAAATGTTTTTAATATAACTGTATCTAGTTTAATCTGGTGTATACGGTTTTCCTCATGTCTTCAGCTCCTCCCAGTGCAGGCAGGTGTACACATTGACCTCACTTGCACCGGACAGCACGTACTGGTGTAATTTTCACCTGAGTCAACTGGCAGCTCAAATTCCCCCATTTACAATGAGAGCCCAGGAGCTGGTCTATGCCCTTGTGCACGTAGACTCCCCTGCTTTGTCGTTCTCACGAGTCAGTGTCCATCACCAGCCTTTGTGCCGCTAATACTTTTCTCAGGACGAGTTCGAAGTTACAGGAGAGCTCACAGTTTTCTCTCAAGGAATCCTCAGTCTGTAGCTACTGTAATAGCACTGAGCT